ATTTTATTGGTTAACAAAATATCTTAATTGATCTAACTACTTCCAATAGCGAGTTCAGCTGATATATAAATATCTGTGAACAAATGTTTGACTTTAGGCTGAAACTGTGAGTAGAATGAATATATTATAATATAGCACCTAGCTGAGGCTATATACCTTACTGTTTTTATTAAATAGGTATTTTAATATAAAATAGGTATTTTAATATTTAATAAAGCCAGTTTTAGCTTTAATAAATCAAAATAAAAAAAACATTAAGAGAACTTTGCTTAAGAGTTAAAGCCAGGAAGCAGGTTAGAATTCTGTTCAAATAGTTACCTGGATCTGTTGACAATTCAAGAGAAGAAAAATATCCTTATCTCTGGACTGCAAAGCATAGAAAAAGATCAGTATTGTTTTAGTCAAAAGCCAAAAAATTCTATTTCATCAGCTCAGTCTCAGGTACTTGATCTAACTTTTGTGGTCCGAACTTTCTGTTCACTCCAGTTCACTTTTTTTTTTTTTTTTTGAGAGGTTTTTGCTATAGGATGTGTACGCTCGACAGAGAGACAGAGAGACAGAAAGCAAGAAATCCCCCCCCCCCTCCCGGGGGGATGGCTATGCTGCAACTCTATAGTAGAAACCAAACAAAATAACAAAAATCAACATAAAATATAAAAACATGAGAATGTTTTTTTTTTTTGTTACTTAAACACTAAGTGTGGAAAGAATCCTAAAAATGTTTCAAATAACTTTTATTTTATTTTATGATTTATTTACTTATTTTAAGCAATGTCAGCATTATTGGACTCTCAAAGATGATTGCTACTACAAAGTAATGCTTTGACATATACAAAGTACATAATTTTATTTATGATTGTTGTTAGAAAGAAACAATTTGAGATATACAAAGTATATGATTTTGACTTCTCTCTCTCTCTCTCTCTCTCTTTTTTTTTTTTTTTTTTTTTTTTGAGAGGTTTTTGCTATAGGGCATGTGCACTCGCCAGAAAGAGTGAATCGGAGAGACAGAAAGTGAGAAATCAGCCCCTAGAGGGGATGGCCAAGCCTCAACTCCTTCTCCTCCATTCTCCTCTTGGGATCTTAGGCACACACGCACAGGTGCCCGGCATGAGTTTAAGCCACCCGGTCCGGGACTCAGACTGTGGTCTACTGCATGGGAGTCCAATGATATAGCCATTACACCACCTATGGTCCCATGATTTTGACTTCTTTAAACAAAGATATGATTGTTTAAAAAAATACTCTTCATTGTCACTTTTCTTATGGATAGATAGACCTAAATTCTTTGGTAAAACTAAACAGTATCTTTTTTTTTTTTTAAAAGAGAGCTTTTTGATAGGGTGGGTAAGCGAGACAGAGAGATAGAAAGTGAGAAATCACTCTCCAAGGGAAATGGTCACGCTGCAATCCCTTCTCCATTCTCCTCTTGGGATTTTGGGCACTTATGCACACATGCCCAGTGTGTTTAAGCTACCAGGTCTGGGACTCAAAACAGAGTCCAATATGTGGAATGTAACCATTATGCCATCTGCTGGTCTCTAACCAGTATATCTTATTTATTTAAATATGTGTGTAATACTTACCTTGCGAGCTTACTCTCGAAGCATAACTATGTAGTTCTGATTCACTCCAACTGTACTCCCAAGCACTTTGTACTGTAACTAGTTATAGTTACTAAAATAATCTTTAGGAGTGGGATCCATTTATTCGTGCTGCTATTAGTCATGTAATGAGTAGTAAGTTGATATTAATACAGGCATCAGAATTACCTAAGTTGCTTGCATGATTTCCTTCATTTTTTGTCTTTCTAGTAACCAATTACTACTGTTTCTAGGAACCAATTCCAAAGCTATAAAGTCCATGAAGTAACTTTTGACATATGTTGTTTTCTTATTTTATTCTAGATGAATCAGATTGTTAGTATGTCTCGAACGAGGTAGACTATTGCCTCCTGAAATGCTGATTATTATTGTGGTACATGTTTGTTTACTAGTAGAGAAACTGGGAGAAAAGAAAGAGTTGAATTCCTTTTCTTTAAAGAAAAATCTTCCATTTTTTTGCATAAGACATGTAGGTGAGGAAGTCATTTTTTTTTTTTTAAATTAACTTTAGGGACCAGCCGTTGGTGTAATGGCTATGTTGCTGGACTCCCATGTAGTTGACTGCAGTTTGAGTCTTGGACCCGGCGGCTTAAACTCACACCAGGCGCGTGTGCGTGCGTGCCCAAGATCCCAAGAGGAGACTGGAGGAGAAGGGATGGCGGTGTGGCCATCCACCCTGGGGGGTGACTTCTCGCTTTCTATCTGTCTCTCTCAGTCTTTCTGGCAAGCTCACGTGCCCTATAGCAAAAACCTCTAAAAAAATCAACTTTATTGAGGTACAAGTTTATTGTGGTAAAACATACCATTTTAGAAAAACTATTTTTTAAAACCAATGAAAAGTCTGCCAATGTGTATCAAATAGTCTTCAGTTAAAATAATCTTAGTGGTGAATATAGCCTTAAATGTAGTTAATGTAAAATAATGCAGTGGTTCTTTTTTTTTTTTTTTTTTTTTTTAATTTGCCAGGGGATGTGTACTTTCACCAGGAGAAATAGTGATGACAAGACAGAGAAGAGAGAGGGAGAGGAAAGCACCCTTCAAGGGGGCATTGTTATGCTGCAGTCCTTTCTCCATTCTCCAGTTTTTTTGAGATTTTGAGTACGCACTCATGTCCAGTGTGTTTTTTCACGTTGCTTGAGCTGGGATTTGAACTGTGGCCATCTATGTGGGATCTAGCTCCCTTAACCACTAGGCCATGGGGCCAGTCCATAACAATCACACAAGAGCTTGCGAGAGGGAGCTTGTAGACTCTTTTTTTTTTTTTTTTAAAGAATTATTTATTTAATTTTATTTATTCATTCATTTGTTCTAATGTGACCAGAGAGAGGCATACAGAGAGAGAGAAGGAAAGTGAGAAAGCAAGCCACAGGTCTGATATTCGAACCCAATCATGTGGGAGTGTCCAGTATCAACCACCACACCACCCACTGGTCCTGAGACAGTTAGACTCTTGACCTCACCCCAGAGCTACTTAATCAGGAACTCTGGAAGTGGGGCCTACCAATTCGTGTTGTAATATATTTATCAGCTATTTCTGATCTGAAGTTGAGAAGCATTGTATGGAAGAAACGTTTTACTGGTTCTGATAAAAATGTCAGGACGCTTCAAAGTAACCTTTAGCCCAGTCCTGGTGTTAGAGATGCATATGAGTAAATGACTAACTTAATCTGCTTAATTATCTACTAGGGATTCTTGTTTTCTGGCATCTCAGTTTTATTTTGCTGAAGGAAGCGTTGTAAAAGACTGAATTACTTTGCTCATTTTTTTATATTTGTTTAGCCACTTAACCTGACTGAGGCTGAGTTTAAGTATTTTGAGGTTTATGCAGTTTTTCCCTAAAATGGCTAATGACACCATTTTAAAATTTAGTACTTCAGCTAAAGCTCCTTGCAGCAGGCCTCTATGTCTTACATGAACAACTTTAGCAATACCGTTTACATTAGCCACAGAGCTAGATCTTAATCTTAGAAGCGTGGTGTTAACATGTTTGTTAGGCAGTGACATTTACCAGGAGACTTAACTTTGCTGACTTTTAGTGCTGAAGTGGAGCAGATCAACTTTGAGATGAACTTAAAATGTTTATCGTTTTCTGAGTCATATCTGACCCCCATCTTATCAATCATCCATTCCTGGCCAGCCAGTGGCATGGTGGTTGCAGAGGCTGGATGCCACAAAGCTGACTCCACTGTCTGAGTCCTGGACCTTGCTGCTTGAAGAATACGCTGTATGCATGTACATCCATGTCCAAAATCCTGAAAGGAGAAATGGAGAAGGGAAGGGGGCGTGAATGTCCCCCACAGGGGGTGCTTTCTCACTTTCTTTCTCTCTTTCTCTGGCAAATGTGCATGCCCTCTGGCCAAATTAAAACAGACAGACAGAAACCCCAGCAAAGCCTTATCAATACTATCTCTTAAATATCTCCAAATTGAAACACTCTGTGTCTTAGTACTCTTACCTTCTGGTCTGAGCCACCATGAACTTTTCCCTAGATTTCCAACTGATTTATTGGAGTTTATTCTTACAATGTGAATAAAGTAACCTTTGGGACCAGCAGATAGCATAATGATTACATTGCTGGACTCCTACATAGTTGACCAGTTTGAGTCCTGGACCCGGTGCCTCGACACACACACCAGATGCATGTGCGCATGTGTCCCAAATCCCGAGAGGACACTGGAGAAGGGACTGTGGTATGACCATCTCCCTGGGGAATAATTTCCTACTTTCTATCTATCTCTCTGGCAAGCACATGCACCCAATAGTAAAAATCTCCTTAAAAAAAAAAAAAAGTCATCTTTAATAATGTACATTTGATTATGTCCCTTCCACTAGAAGGCAGTCAGTGGTTTCTCATAAAGTCCAGTCTCCCGTGGCTTGTAAGGCCTCACACGATCTAGGCTCTCCAGCTCTCCAGCCCAGAGACCCATCTTCTTTTAGGTCCTGAAATGCGCCATGTTTGTTTCTTTTTCACTGCACGCTGTTCCCTCGTAATCCTAAAAAAAGCTGAACCTTTATTGATGCCGGATCTTCGTTTAAAGGTCATTTTCCGCAGGAGTTCTTTGTGACACACGCTTCCCCCCCACCTCCCTACTTGCATAGCCCTTGTTCTGTGTTCTCACAGCTTCATCTGCACTTCCATCGTTGTCTTACCTACTTGTGCGTCCATTTGTTTACTGTCTGCCTTCCCGCTCTACCATATTCCATGAGGGCAAAAGTCATTTTTTTGTCATTCTAGTACACAGCAAAGTACCTGGGATGCGGTATCCAAAGACTACGTGTGAATGTTGTGACAGGGTTACACAAACAATGGCGACTTTCCACGTGTTGATATCGTATAAAGTTTATTCAGGCGTGAGATCTTGGTGAATAAGCTGTTTCTTATTTTTGCATGTATAGATTATGCTTGTGCTCTTCAGAGGGACATTTTGCTTCAGGGACGACTCTACCTTTCAGAAAACTGGCTGTGTTTCTATAGCAACATCTTCAGATGGGAAACTACAGTAAGCTATATTTTGCATTTGATTGGTTGATACAAATAATTAAGTGATAGAAATATATACAGTCGTACTAAACACAATGTAGTTTCAATGCTTCTGTGGTAAATTTTGTGTATAGATACATATGGGTGTCTTTTGTGTAAGTGTGTAATATATTTTTCCAACTTAATACAGTCAACTCCACTTGTTCTAATACAGTTAGAGATTCCAGGCTGGAAAGAGCTTGAACATGCATCTGTGGCTGCCAAAACCATGCCTTATGTGATAGAACTGTTTGAATTCTGTTTGCGTGTTTCTGTGTTAATATGGACCACGAGTACCCACCTGTGTTTTTACACTTTGTGCTAATGTTAGATATAGGAGCTGGTGGGGGGAAATACTGCTACTGTTTTTCTTAGAATGCAAGTGTGTGTTTATCAACTCCATGTTTTTCAAGTGAGCTAGCATTCTGGGTTAAGTTGACTTAATACTTGGTATTTTGTGTTGTGTATGTTTTTGAAGACTGTGTTTTATAATTTTTTAATTCCTTTGTGTGTTTAGATCTCAATTGCTTTAAAGAACATAACCTTCATGACCAAGGAGAAGACTGCCCGACTCATCCCAAATGCTATCCAGATCATCACAGAGGGTGAAAAGGTGAAAAGCTTTGCTATTTTTGCCGTACCACATAATGTGAAGAAAATCCGCCTCATGCCAATCATTAGTGTTGGGAATATAGGTAATTCTTCTTGTAGTTAGGGATATCTGGTAAAGATCATTGTATTTAATACTAGATTTCTGTGCGTTTTGTTATTGGAAATTAACAGTAGAAGGTTGCTGACTTACTTTGTACTTTATAGTTTACAGAGAACTCACCCATACTTTTCACTTCTTCATTGTAAACATAGGTGGGGTACACATAGGCAAGATGCCCTTACTCTTTCTAAATCCCCTAAAAATTCTGTGATTGTTGTTAGTTGGTATTATCTGCACAATAATAACTAATAAAAACAAGTGGTTCTGGTAAATGGAAATTTGGGAAGCATACAAATAAACACATCGTCATCATCATCTTTTAGAATGGCAGTGATCTTTAACTACCGGCATTTCTGTTTTCCTCCTACAACATCTGTTGTTTCTTCATGATGTGATAGGAAGAATCTTTCTGTACTCTCCTAGAAAACTGGTTAGGGCTCTGTGTGTGACATTAAAGCATAATGCCGAGAAAGAAAGAAGGGAAGAAAAGAAACTATGGAAGAGAATGAATGGGAGGGAGAAAGACAGAAAGGAGGATGGAAAGAAGTAAATATAGAAAAAAGAGAACGGGGGACCAGCAGATGGCAGAATGGTTATGTTGCTGGACTCCCATGTATTATACCGTGGTTGGAGCTCTGGACCTGGTGACTTAAACCTCACGCTGGTGTGTGCTTACATGCCCAAAATCCCAGGAGGAGAATGGAGGTGAAGGGATTACAGTGTGGCCAAACCCCTCCCCTGTCCCCCACACACCAGGGGGTGATTTCTTACTTTCTGTCTCTCCAGGAAGCACATGTGCCCTACAGCGAAAGTCTCTTAAAAAGAAAAGAAAAAAGAAAGAAAGGGAGAAGGGAGAGGAGAGATAAACAGTACAAAGACATTAAATCTTTGTAATTATACCTTTTAATGTTATAAAGTTTCCTTTAGATGCACTTTAGGTTTTATTTCATTTTAAAGCAGTTACATCCCTCATAGAACACTTCCAAGTATGGTACAAAGATCTTTTCCCACTGAGCTGTTTGTCACCCTGATGCCTTCTAGCATGCATCTCCATCAAAGGCATTCTACCACACAACCACAGTATAAACGTCAAAATCAAGAAAAGGACATTGATCTGTTACCATTGTTCAAGCCTCAGACCCTGTTCAATCTACCCAGCAGTTCAGATAATGTTCTTTACCTAAAATAGAGTCAGTTCAGAATTACATATTATTATGACCTACAATTTCTTTTTAAAGAATTATTTCCTTTATTTTATTTATCATTATTGTTATTATTATTATTACTTTAATTTGACCACAGCAAGACACACACACACACACACACACACACAGAGATAGAGAGACAGAGAGAGAGAGAGAGAGTGAGAAAGCAAGCTGTCAAGTCCGGGACTTGAACTGTAGTCAGCCAAGTGGGATGTCCAGCACCTTTAACCACATGCCACCTGCAGGTGGTCCTCATGCTCTCTAATTTCTTAGAAAAGTCCCTTAGTCTTTCCTTTTTCTTGATTTTTGCCCTTGACACTTAAAAATTACATATCAGTTATTTTGTAGTTTATGTCTCAGTTTGTGATTGATGTTTCTCTGTGATAAAGTTTAGCTGATGTATTTTGGAAGAAATGCATGGAAGCTGTGCTCTGTTCTTTCCATCACATCCTGTCAGGCAGCACGTGATTTCAATTTGTACCATTATTGGTGATATTTACTTAAATCATCTTTCCTTCTCCCTTCCTGCCTTTCATGAGTCAGACAGATAGACAGACAGACGGACTTGTACCATAATAGGACCTTGTATGTTGTGATCCTCCCTGCCTCAAAACCCCACCACCGACCTTCAGTCAGCCAGGATCAAGGGTGTGCCTGTGGGAATGACTGGCACGTTCAGGCCAACCCGGGATTCAAACCTGGCCCTCCCTATGGCTCTGATATCACACAGCAATGCTCTCCCACTGCCCCACCATGGCTGGGCCTGACGTGACCATTTAATTAAAGTGCTGTCTGCCAGGCCTTCATATAAAGTTAGTGTGTTTTATTTTGTAATAAGTATTTTGTGGTAAAGTACTTTGAAACTATGTGAATTCACCATTCTCACCAAACTTTAACTTTCTTCACTCATTTACTTATATCAGTATAAACTTGTGGTTTCTTTTTTTTTTTTTTTTAGAGGTTTTTGCTATAGGATGTGTGCACTCACCAGAAAGACAGAGAGAGACAGAGACAGAAAGCGAGAAATCACCCCCTGGGGGAATGGCCACGCCACAATCCCTTCTTCTCCACTCTCCTCTCGGGATCTTGGGCACGCACGCACACACATCCAGCATCTTCCTTTCTATGTGAGTTTAAGCCACTGGATCCAGGATTTGAACCGCAGTCGACTACATGGGAGTCCAGCGATATAGCCATTACACTAACTGCTGGTCCCTGAACTTGTGGTTTCTTACGTGTTCCACATTTCTTTCATATGTAGAGACCTTCCTCACACACTTGGGCCCTGACCTTCCGTGTGGGAATACCTTTCTTTGTGGGTGACCTCTTCATTCTTTCCTGGGTCTGACACCCTGTGCCCTAACCCTCACCCTTGCTGTAGATGCCTACTTTTCTCTGATGCACCAGCAGCTTCAGGGATGAACTGTTCAGGGAGGGAAGAGAACTAAAATTCATTTAGTCTTAATTTTATTTTATTTTATTATTTTTCTTTTTTTAATTTCAATTTATTTATTTGCATTCATTCACTGTACATCATTACAGCATACAAAATGAGATTTTCCATCCAGAGTACACTGTATATTGTCTCAATCAAGCACATCAACAAACATGCTATTGTCAGCAAATGATCTTCCATTTCTTGTTTTCTGTATGTTTTGCTTTTTCTCCCCCATCCTTGGTTCCCTCTCTTACCCTCTGCCACCTCCTGTTCTCCTCCCACACTGTCTCTGTTATCTATTTCTATACCATTTTCCCCCCACATTTTATTGAATCACCAAAGACCCTCATCAATCCAAATACCCTCCTAGCAAACACATGTGACACACACATTTCCATGAGCACAAGTCTAACTTTACGCATCCTATAAAGTAGCACCTA